CTGGCCATCTTAATGGCCCATTAGCTGGTGATGGGCAGAAAGCTATAGGCAACTATTCTGTCTTTTGAAACATGTTTCTTTTCACATCCAGAGAAATATTCCGCCTTTTCAATATTTCCTAAGATATTTCATTTTTCTGGGAGAGGGCTGGATAATAACTTCCCACAGAGTAACAGGTGCAATTGATGCACGGTGCAGTTATGCAAAGGCCCTCCTGCCACCTGCTTTTGGAAAAGGAATTGTGGATTCCTAGATTGTTTAGAGCAGGGGTCACCAACCTTTCGGACCTCAGGGACCACTAAATTCATAATTTTAAATCCCACGGACCACTAATATGATCTGCCTAATGACTGGCTGGGAGGGTGTGGCTAGGTGGTCATGTGACTGGATGGGCGTGGCCAACTCGATATCACTCATGTCAAGGAACGCCTCACCAGCCTCTATTCACCCCTCCTACCCAGCCACTCCTCACCTCCCCTATGGACTTCTTAGGAAGCAGTTGCTGGAGCTAAGCAGCCAGCATCAGAAAGAGTTAGCAAAAAAGATCAGTTCAAATTGGATCTGACCGAGAAGGAGGCTCAGCAGAAGGACCTCACTGAGGATTACAAGCAGAGGCTTTCCAAGCAGAGGGAAGACCTGCGGAAGTGCAAGGCCAGGTATTTGGAAGCTCAGCAGCCTGAAATGGTCAGCCAGTTCCAGACCATGATGCAGTCCCACTGGAACAAGGTCCTCTGGCTGTTCTCCACCAGAGGCACTTCCCTGCAGCCTTCGCCCAAAGCCCCACACCAGGAGGCTGAAGCAGACCCCAAGTCGGAATTTCTGCCCCCCTCCAACCCCTACAAAAAGACCTTGAATGGTGAGACTCTCTGCAGCAACACAAATGTTCATTGCACACATTCGTCCCAGGGGGCATAGTTGGAGGACCCCTGATTTAGTGCAATATAAAAAATGCAAATAATTTTTCTGCAGACCACTAAAATTTCTCGCAGACCACCAGTTGGTGACCGCTGGTTTAGACAGTTCAATCCCATCCAGCACCAAAGATGGCATAAGCCTAGAACCAGTGGGGCACAAAACCCCAATCCGCTTCTTCAGTCTTGCCAGGATTCAGTTGTAGCTCTTCTCCCCCCTCCAGCCTCCCACAGCCTCTAATGACTGGCATAAAGAGAGCACAGCATCTGTTAATTTGCCAGAAACTGAGATATACAAACGACCACCCTCAGCATGCTGACAACTCAACCACGGTGATGGATCAGCTCACCCACAATCATACCTACACAGTAAACAGGAGAAGGGAAGCCTCCACCTCTGCAGCAGGTCATACAATAAGAGCTGGACAGGATCTCTCCCCAGTCACCACCAGAAAGAAACCATGGTTGATGGCACTGGAAGCTGCTGAGAAGTTAAGTCGGGTGAGGAGAGATGCACCACCCTTCCCAGAGGTTATCCACAGAGGGACCAATTCTGTTGACATCTCACACAAGGGCCTGAATCCCAACTGAAAAGGATCCAGATAATCCACTTCATTCAGGATCCTCCAAAGCTGCTGTGTAACCACCTTTTCAATCACCCCCAAAGAGGTTTGATACCGGATGAAAATTGACCAGCACAGTGGGGTCTAGCAATAGCTTTTTGAAGAGGGAGCTAATCAAAGTAGCCTTCAGAGCAGCGGTCACTAACTGGTGGCCTGTGGACCACTGTGGACCACGAGAAAATTTTGGTGGTCTGCAGAAAAAATATTTGCATTTTTTATATTGCACTAAATACTTAATATTTAATACTTAAATATTTAAAAATCTTTTTAAAAAATCATATTAGTGGTGTGCGGGATTTAAAATTATGAATTAAGTGGTCCCTGAGGTCCAAAAGGTTGGGGATCCCTGCTTCAGAGGCAATTTTTCACTCAGTTTACCACAACTAGAACCCATTCACACTACACACACAGACACCCCTCCTCAACCAGCGAGGAGGGTCATGTGGCCGAGCTCAGGGTCCTAAGAGTCCTATTCACGTCATCAGGCAAACTATTCAAATATACACCTTCCAGATCAGTGGTGAGTTTCAAATTTTTTTAGATCCTCTTCTGTAGGTGTAGCCTGCTTTGTGGGAGTGGCTTGCCAGCCATGTGACTGGGTGGGAGTGGCCAACTTGTAAAATGTGGTGAAACTCACTTAACGCTCTTGCTTAGCAACCAAAATGTTGGCTCAGAAACTCTGGCATTGAAGTGTGCAAGTCTTAAAGCTGTCAAGTTAGAAGACCCTTGCACCCCTAACCCTTTAGAAAAAAAAACCCCAAGGGTGTTCAAACTTGACAGCTTTTAAGATTTGTGGACTTCAACTCCCAGAATTCCTCCTCTCGCGCTTCATCTTGATGATGTGTGGACAGGTGGTGGGGAGGGAGCTGGAACCTGTAGATTTGTGGAACCTCTTCTATAGAAGAGGTTAAAACTGGCAGGAACCCACCCATGATTCCAGATGTTTTGGACTACAGCTTCCATCAGCT